CGGCAGCAGGCGGTGAGGAGGAGCCGCGCATGGCGGGGACGCTCTGGGGGTGGGGTGGGAGGACACGCGGGGGGGCCCGCACCAGGCAGAACTGGGGGAGAGACCCAGCTGGCACTTCCGGGTTTAGGGGCGCGGGGCCCAAGTCGGCCTGAGGCCGGCTCTGCCGGCAGTCACCAGGCATGCTGAGGCCCGGTATTTTTTTCCGGGCCGCGGCCCATAGTTTGGGAAACGCTGCCATAGAGAATCATCTGAAAGATTAATGTTTGATTTTACTTATTAGAATACTGAGGAACACACTTGCAAAACAGTGCGCAGGGTTTCAACCACATGACTGCTACACAGGAACTGAATCTGTAAATTCTCAGGATGATAACATTTTTGCCTCATGATTCCTAAAATGGGACTTATGGAAAGTCTATCAGAAAGCACAGTCATTCCAGGACATCTTAACTTCTAACTTCACTCCACCCAAGATCAATTTTTTCTGTAGGCTATAACTCGGTCATGATACTTTGCCTTGTAAAGAGAGAAGCATGTAGCTTGCACACAGCAAGATTCCTACTCTGGACCAATGTTATTTGCACTGGCCAAATAAGAACTTTTGCAGCACATGGTAGGCCAAGGCACTAACCACTCATCCCAGGAAAGGTTTTGCTACCTGTTGAGGGAATAAAGATATCTGCAAACATATCAACTTTTGCTTACCACTCTAGAAGCTCTCCCAAGCTGATGATGTTGCCTCTGTGCAGGTGCCATACAACTTCCGGCATGGGTGGGTTCTAAAAGGAATAATGCTACAGTCAGATGCAGTGTTCCCTCTATTTTTTTATGTCCATGTGCAGAATGAATTTTGTTATGTGCACCAATATGGAGAAGATGTGCAATATCACCTACACATTGGTGCACGTAAAACATTCATTCTACACATGGACGATCTGTGGTGATGGGATTGCGGGGTTCGGAGTGTGGGAGGGGGCTCAGTGTTGGAAGGAGGGCAGCTCTAGCTGGGGTGTGGGCTCTGGAGTAGGGCTGAGGATGAGGCGTTTGGGGGGCCAAGGGATTTGGAGTGCAGGAGCAGGTTCAGGGCAGGAGGTTGGGGTGAAGTGTCTGGGCAAGAGTTTGCGTACAGCAGCGTGCTCAGGGTCTTACCTGGGGCAGCCCTATGGGGGGGGAGGGGCTCTGCACTGCCCTTGCTAACCTGCAGTCAGTGTGGGGACAGAGATTTGTGTTGCTCACACAGCTCCCACTGGAATGGTAGAAGGAGGTGGGGGGGAGAATGGGAGGAACAGTAATACATGGGTCCCAAAACACAGCGACTTTTTGGGCAGCAGCCCAGTGCCCCAGATTAAGGGGGACATCCTTTATCTAGGGCCCTGGGCTACAGCCCCTAAAGTCCCTTTCTTAATCCAGCCCTGCTGCTGAGGCTGGGGAAGCCCATCTCTTCCCAGCCATGGCCGTTCTCTGCGTGACTTATTAGGCACGTGTACAGCTGCGCAGCTTAGTGCGAACCCTGGTAACATTTACAAAACACAAACTTTCCAGTGGTGAACGTTAAAAGAAAATTAAAAACCTGTTTGTCTGTCAAGTTAAGCATTTGAAAAACGTGAGCTGCTCTGTGGAACAGCAATATACGAAACATCAATACCAAGAACGTTATCCGACAGCTATTCTCTCCTACCCATTTTTGAAATGTTTATTAAAATTGACAATTATTCAGGTCACTGTGTCCCTGGAATAGGGATGTAAGCAACTAGCTGACTAATCGATAAGCATAAGCTTATCAGTTAGTCGAGTACGATTCAACTAGTCGCTTCCCCACTCTGATTGAGGCAGCCAGGGGAGGGGAGCAGGAGCCGGTGCAGGGAGGAGCTGGGTCCCCCTAGCACCGTCTCTGCAGGGAGCAGCGGAGGCAGGGGCCCAGCAGGGAAAGGGCGCGAGTGGGGACTATAGCAGTCCCCGTTCGCGCCAGTTCCCACTGCAGCGCTTCAGCCTTTGAAATGTATCAAGAGCCCCACGGGTATTCCAGTCCTGCAGTAACCCTGATTACATGTCTTCTAAAAGGACACCTCAACGGATTGACAAGAACAGTCTGTCAGTGCTAGTCACCAGTTCAGGACAAAGGAAGTTGTAAACCTCCTGCATATTCCCAGGCTTGAAATGAAGTGAATTTGGTGCTCTCAAGACCAGTTCCTGAGAGTCAGATCACGAACAGCTATCCACAATTGGCATCCTTCTCAGCAAAAGCTCAATTCAGGAAACCCTTGCGATTTGCGGAATCGCTATTTGCTGTTCCACATATTTGTGGGTCATCTGTTCCGGTCGAGGGAATGGAAAGGGGGGAAGAGGGGAGCCACGGGGAAGTCACCACGGCACCCAGCCCCCACAGTGAGTTCTCCACTACTCACAGACCCCCGGTGAGTTCGGGAGCTGCCGTGGCTCCCAGAATTCACAAATTTCACTATTCACAGTGGATGCAGGAACCGTCCACCATGAATGATGTGGGCTTCCTATACCGAATGGGGGAGAGAAAGAAAATAGCCTGAAGTGTCTGCTGTGAATGCAAGGTCAGCAGTCCACAAAACCAACATTATCCATGATCTCATTTTGAATGAAACACCTAGCCTTGCTTGCATCACTGAAACATGATTTTATGCCCCCCTAACCCTGCCCATAGTCCATCCTATCATATGTCACAAGCCAAGACAGACTCCAGAATGCATTAGTAGAAAAGAGAAGGTGATGTAGCCACCTTTTTCCCTTCCAGTCTCAAATCCAGGAGCCTTCCTTCCCAAAAACATACAAATGGATCTATACGATCTGTGAGGCACACCTAGGTGAACAAGATAACTTAGGATTCCTGGTGGGGAACAGACTTCCAGATGGCAATCCTGTCAATTTCCTGGAGGGAGTTACAGAGCTGCTGCCCAGTGTGGTACTTAAACAGGATTCCATGTTAACCAGTTAACCGATTAAGAGGGACACACCAGCCCACTTGGGGTGGAGCGGCCACCCCGCCTAAACAGCCACTTCCTGTCATGCACCCAGGCCTACCATGGACAGGGGCTGCTCTAGACAGGCTGGAGCAGCCCCTGTCCATGGCAGGCCCTGCAGGCTGGAGCAACCCCCTGCCCGCACTGGGTGGAGGGCTGCTCCAGCTCCCACTGGTTAACCAGAACCAGAAAGCATCACCGGTGATGTTACCAGTTAACCTTTCACATCCCTACAATCAAACCACTCTCCCAATCTGATCACCATCTCATCCAGGAAAGCCTTCCCTCCTTTCCACAAGGGTAGGGAGATAAGCAAAGCACACAAGTTCTCTAGCACAGTTGCTTTGGCCCCAACACATCCATTCGTCCACACTAACCAAACAGATCACCACAATTTGCAGATGAAGTAAACAGGCAGAAAGTTAAAACCCTGGTGGCGCAAATTATATTCTGAATCCCTCTGCCAACAGCTCAAACAACATTTCTAGAATTACACCACCACAGTGAAAGCAGCAAAACAAGGCCATTTACTCCTCTGCAATCACTGTGGCAGAACCACAATCAGCACAGACCACCACCTAATCAATCCAGACTGCATTGCCTACATGCCAGACCCAAGCATCCGCCAACATGAAGGTACTGTGAATCAATGCATATGAAAAGGAACCTTTACTATTCCAGATATCAGCATGCTTCGGAAACACTGTCAAGTAGAATGTAAGCAAAGTGCTTTCAAACACCTGGGAAGGCCTATTATTAAGAAGATAACATGCATGCAATTTTCTCTTGCTTTTATTTAAATTCTTTTCCAGAAAATTTACTGATTTGTCCTCCCCCACCAAAAATGCTGATAGGACAGTATTAAAAAAAACAACACTATTTTGCAAGCCATCTCCTACGCACCTGTTGCAGTTACTATCGAACAGTCATTAATACTTGCGGGAAAGGATAACTTTAATGGCTTAATTCCCCACTATGTATGGTCCTTTTAGATTAATTCTCACAGCTTTAAATAGATTTTATTGGTAAAATATTTGTTAATGGGAAAAACAATGCTCCATCACATTAAGACAGGATTATGCTTTTAAAGCCCCAAAACCATGCTGACTCCCAGGAGTTTTCAAGATGGCCACCATCCATCAAAAATAAGACCACTAAGCTCCTGATCTTGCTGCTAAGCACCATTAACAGTACCGCAAGGAGGAAGTCAGATTACTAGATTTCTGCAGCCTATTTTAGAACTGCCCCTCGCTTTAGTATGCACTCCTGGATTCCACCCAAGCGTTCTGTCCCTGCAGTCTGCAGGGCCAGCATTTGTCTTCAGAGCTCTTACCTGCATTTTCCACAATTCTTGGCAGAACAGCAAACGACAGAAGGCATTGTCCACCACCAAATCCTTGACGGTTTGAAGCAAACAAGACAATTTCTTCTGGAATTTCCCCAAAAAATAAAATGGAAAAAATCCTCTCAGTAAATATTACATGTAATTATAAACCATTTTCCTTGTTGTTCTTATTTGTTGATTTTTAAATGACTGAATGGCTCTAAGGATCGACTGGTGAGGGCCTTTCACCTTTGGGTTAGGAGTTTCAATGCACCCCCCCTTTTCCTCCCCCATCAAGAGTGACTGAAATCAGGGTCAAATTCAGCTTTTCAACTATTTTTGTTCACCCCAGTGACGACAGCACTACAATGTGAATTCATGAACACAAGCATCAGAAGCCGGAGTCACCCTTACACCACCAGTGGCCTAGGTGAAGCGATTGATAGTCTTAGCTCCTGGTGTCCACGCACAAAACCCAACCCAACAGAGAGTTAAAATTGCAAGCAGGGATGCTAAAAATTAAACAATGGACAGACAAAATGAACTCTATTGGGAAGGGTTAGGGCATACTAAAGAGTCAGATACAAGAAGCTTACACTGCCACTACTCACACTGTATTATATCTCTATGGATGACCAGAGGACATCATTTCCAGGGCTGTCAATTCAGTACCTTTCACGTTTATGAAAAGAACGTCCCATTTCTAAGCATATTACAACATACAGATGAGATATAAACCAAACCATCAGCTATTTAGCTCCATTACTGGCTTTGGATTTTTTTAATCTTTTGGGGACGACATTTCCATTTATGGAGGACAGAGAGTGGGCCTAAAGAAAGTGTAAAAACAAAAAATAACTATTAACAATGCCCAGAGCAAATTTTCATCTTACTCTCTGCTCCATGTTCAACAGTGCAGCTGATTTGGACTCCATGGAAGCCTTGCAAATCTGGTCAATGTTGGCAGCAGTAGTTTTGGCTGACAAGATTCCCATTGGTACTCCCAGCCTCGAGACCTGCTCCTGCAGAACGGATACTACAAAGCAAAAGTTTACAGTGTAAGAGGACTGTGGGATGAGCACTAGACTAGAACCGACAATTCCTGAGTTTTAATCCTAGCTACATCCCCTATTATCCCTCCTTTCACATCTCTGTCTGCCCCTATTCCCAGGTCTGAGTGTGCCTCCGTTCTCCCCATGCCTCCCCATACTTCTCCTCCTCTCTCCTTTTCAGGATGCCAACATTTTTCAAGTGAATTGGCAGAACTAAAATGAGGGGTATTGTTTGGCTCAATGTGGTAATGGCTGCCATCACCAGTTCTCTGACCGAAGGTCAATTACAGACCTGGGTGAAGCTGCTAGCTCTGCTATCCAGATCCCAGGGGCTCTGCATATCCCTCATTTGCTTCTCTGTTCTGATTTTCCCGTTTTCAAAAATAAATAAATAAATAGATTTCTACCCCTGATGCACAGAACATTTCCCTGGCATTTTTTAACTGATTTAGGCTTCACAAGCTCGGCCAGCAATAGGAAACGTGGCTTGCTGCTGTCTTCATTCTACTGAAAAGAGAACCACTGTGCTCTATAGACACTTGCAACTGTTTATGCATTTTAAAGAACAAACTAGCAGCCTGACAGAACAAGAAATTAATAGCACAGGACAAGCAGAAACTCAAGCGTGTCAGGCAAACAATTTCCATCTCTTTCGGACAGATACTTCTTCAGTCACACTCACCTACAAACGATTCTGAAAAAGCATTCTGTGGCTCTGGACCACTCTGTCCAGATTTACTGGAACTGTCCACCTAGAAACAAAGAGTCTTTTAATTCTCTGTTTGCATGTGTATGTACATATATCAACTTTTACATGGCTCTTCCCAGCTGCAGCATTCCAGGCACCTCCAGCAACTGAAAAAACCCGAAGTTAAATAATACTACTTAGCTCTTGCATACAACTTTGCATCTGTAGCTCTCAAAGCACTTTACAGAAGAGGGCAGCTTCGTTATCCCCATTTTACAGATAGTGAAACTGAAGCAGAAAAGTAACTTGTCCAATGTCACCCAACAGGTACATGGTACAGCCAGGCATAGAACCCAAGTCTGAGTCCTAGTCCAGTGCTCCTTCCACTGTCACATTTTACCAAAACATAGATGGCCACGAGCATTAGGAACTAGAAAGAGTCAGTGTGTCCTTTTAAAAGGAGATTGTTCTACTGCACTCCTCAAATTGTTCCACTGAACTCCATAGAAAGAAAAGATCCTAGAGAAAAAATTCTAGGAAGTACTCATCTGCCTACAAAAGTCCTCAAAAGCAAATGCTTTCTCCAGCCTGAGGTCAAGATAATGCAGTAAGAAACTTGGCATGATGTCCATGTCTGCATCTCTCACATCTCTATAAAATCACACTGCGGAATCATGGGTTGCTATTAAGAGAAAGTCGATGCTCTCCAATAAATTTTTGTTTACTTACTAACCTACCAAAGGCGTTCCAAGTGTGGAGTTTGCACCCTTGGGGTGGGGACGCAGCGATGAGGTTATCAGTAATGAGCAGAGACAAGGGTCTGGATGGGGCTCCATCCGATACAGAAAATAGATGGGGAACTGGCTACTGGGACCACGGGTCCCTATCTGTCATGGCCCCTCACTGACTCAGCTACAGCAGTCACCAACAGGCAGTTAACCTTCTCTGCTGGGTAGGCCAGCAGGGCCTCTGCAAGGAGAGAGCCAAATGCTGCATCCGGGACCTACTGACCCTTAATGCTGGACAGAGCCCCCTCCTGACTCTAGGCCTTAGCACAGCCTCTGGACAGAGCCACAACCACTTCCCCTCCCAGAAGGAGCCCGTGCAAGGGAAGCAGAGTGTGCCATGCTGAAGGACCAGGGTCAGAAGTGGGCTGTGTCAGTGCATGAGCCAGTACTCATGGGGTGCAGCCTTTGGTTCCCCTGCTGACCATAGCCCTTCAACAGCATCTCATTTGTTTATTCTAAGCAGGATGGGAGGCAGAAAAGCAGGAAGCAGGTCCCAGCAGCAGAAACTGCCCAACTTCTGCAGGGCAAGAAGTCTTCAACTGCAACCTGGTGAGTATACCTCCTTCCATATTCCCTATGAATACAGGACACCCTTCCCTGAAGGGTACCAAGCAGCCCACCTCCCAGCACATTTCTTAGAAAGTGGTGGGCATGCATGGAACATGAGTCTCCAAAGGAGGGGCAAAAAACCCCTCTGCAACAGAAAAGCCAGTGTTGATCCCAAGAAAAAGGATAGTAATTTACCACCATATCTCTAACCTGAATGAGCTCTATACAACCCTAAACCCATTTTCAGGCCATAGCAACACAGTAAGAATGAATACAAATCTCCTGAGTTTTCTTTTGTGCCTATTTTCCTCATGTTCACTTACTGAAGATATTCTGCTTTATTGGCACACACCTTAGACCTGTATCAGAAAGACTCGTAGCTAGATGAAACTTCTGCACAGTTTTACAGAAACCCAAGCTATAACTGGTAAAATCAAAAATGCCAGCTGCCTTACCTCGAACAAGAGGTCATCCAGGTTCTGATGGCAACTCAGAAGGTGAATAGCTGCTTTCTGAAGCTCCTGTCCATTTTCAAATGTGCACTTCTGTTTCTTGACTCTTCCTGCTAAGAATATTTTAGAATTAATTTCAAAGTTTTCTTAATAGCTCCCTTTCTGTGGTTTTATTTCTAAAACATATGACTATTGTGCTCATGAAGAGGAAGGCTTGATACTGACAAGAGCCAGACAAAGTGTGGACTAATGCTACACACAGCTCTGCCAATGTCTGCCTTCTGATCCCCAAGACTGCTCCTTAACCTAGGCCAGATCGCTCTATACACAAACTGCCTATTGTGCCAAAACAAAGACCAGCAATATAAGAATTTTTAAGAGAGACAGGCTGTTCAACATGTTGGAAAAACACTCTTTGCACTGATTATAGCAAGCTTGAGGTGCTATTTTAGGATAACTTTGAACAATCTCAAAATGAAACAGAAATCAGTTTGAAGAAGGGGGCATATTGTTTTTCATTCCTTGGTACATGTGAAGAAGGGGGCAGCAGCATTCTGCACATTCTGGGGAACTGGGGTTGGCAAAGGCCACAGAAGAGGGAGGTGTAACAATCAAGGAAAGGAACAATAAAGAGTTCAGAAAAGATGGAGCTAAGGAAGGGAGAGGCAAACGGCTTTACAAACACAGATTACATGGAAGAAGGACCAACATCCACATAAGTTTGGTTTCAAGTCTTGTAAAGCCACCAGCTGTCATAAAAATAGTCTGAACTTCACCCAGTTTAGATTACAGCCAATAAAACGGCAGCAGGAGGTGCGGGAGACAATATGCTGACTTTGGTTCTCTATCACAACTGCAGGTGTGCATGCTGGACTGCTCAGAGTTGTTAGGAAAAATCACGGTTGAACAGCCTAAAAAATAGCAGCCCTGGCTCTGTGTGCCACCTGAATTGCATACCCTGCCCCAGAGGATCAGACGCTACAGGGCAAAGAAATGGAAGGGCACAGCAATGGTAGGGCTAAGGAGAGCTGCAGGAAAGCATACAGCAGGGCTGGGCATGAGGCAGCTCAGATCCCCCCTGCCTAACACCCAGGCTGTGTCTACACTGGTGCGATCTTGCACCAAAGCGGCTGCTCTGGCGCAAAAACTTGCTGTCTGCCTACACTGGCCGTGTGTTCTTGCGCAAGTAAACTGACATTCTACTGTATAAAATCAGGGTTTCTTGTGCAAGAACTATGATGCTCCCGCTCAGGAATAAGCCCTCTTGCGCACCTGTTCTTGCGCAAGAAGCCAGTGTAGACAGGCAACATGAATTTCTTGCACAAGAAAGCCCTATGGTTAAAAAGGCCATCAGAGCTTTCTTGCACAAGAGAGCGTCTACACTGGCAAGGATGCTCTTGTACAAAAGCACTTCTCTTGGGCAAAAGCACATACCAGTGTAGATGCGCTCTTCTGGAAGAGCTTTTGCACAAAAACTCCTCCACAAAAGAGTTCTTGTGCAAGAAGCTGCCAGTGTAGACGCAGCCTTAGATCCAGCCCATGAACTGCATCTGACTGCTTTCTATTTATATACTGCTGCGCTGCCTGTGCCACTGGATTTCCAGGCAGTAGCTCAGACACCAGGATCCTATTTAAATGGCTCACAGTCATCATGCTCCCCTGGTAGGGGCCACAGCCACGAGCCCTTTAAATAGCCACAGCAAACTCGAGTGGCTACCAGGCAACACGGTAGCAGGAGGGCCAGGAGCTGCAAGCCTTTTACAATGTTTTTAATCCAAAAACTCCAGTCCCCCCAATAACTCTGGGGAGGGAGTCTAGTCCCCAGCCTCACCCCATGAGCTCACAGTTCTAGGGGTGGAGCCTGCCCATGAGCACCAACCAAAATTCATTAAGTGCCCCCCTGCCAAAATTATTGCCCACCCCTGGCGTACAGCACGCTGGGTGCATCCCAGCCACATGGTGAACCAGGACGGGCGGGGCTGTTCTGAGAGCACAGAGGTGGCCGGGTCGGTCCCTTGGGGACAGGTGCCCAGCAGAGGGGCACATGCAGGGGGAGGGCACCCCCCCCCCTCGGGCACTGCGAGCGCCACCCCAGGGCTGGCAACTCTGACCCAACAAAACAAAACACCCAGCCCCCGAGGAGGGGCTGGAAGCTCCTGGAATTTCATCCAGTTGGGGGATCCTCCTGGGAATTCTGCGGGAGCGAGGCAGCCTCTAGGGCAGTGGTTGGAGGGCACTGACCCCCTGACAAGTCAGTTGGGGGCTGCACAAAAGTGAGAAGCACTCCCCCCCCCCCCCCCCGCGCGAACCACCCCCACGCG